GTAAGCTTAATCAGTCCCTGCGGTGGAGAGCAAAATTTGTGACAAAAAGGGTAATTAAGTAGCTTCCCTTTGTTTGAATTAAATAATATAACGGGTAACCAAACAGATCTTCTGTGGTTTCACAGGTTTCTATTCTATCAAAACTCGAAATATGGATTCGATCAGAGAGCTTTAAGGTAGAAAGCCTTTAAGAATTGGTTGATTTGTGAAAAGTGGGGAAACTGAATCAAATTCTTCAAGTGGGATTATATACAAAATTAGGACACCTTAGGTTGAATTTTTTCGACATAACACATGGAAGTATTGAATTGGGTTCTAGTGAACACCTCTATTGATTTTGCCTTACATACAAAAAAGCCATTCAGCGACTACCCATGTTTTTAAACGAATCGATGAGTTATAGAGAGCATTCCTTCAACAATATAACAAATATACTCCTAGATACCCAATGATCCAAATAGCTTGATGACCTTAATATTAAACTGGAATGAATTGTAGCAAAATATAACAACAAAACAGATCCCCCTAAAAACCGTACATGCGGGTCTCCCCGCATGCGGCTCACGGCATTCGAGGTGGCACTGTGTCAAACTTACAAAAGCATCAATAACAAATCTCCTCCTGCTACTCTTAGTTCTATTATTGGATATTGTTCTGATTGATGGGTTTGAAACTAGACGAACAAGGGTCTTCGAGATGGAGGTCTTTGAGAGCGGAGCAATAGAAATCCGGCTAGCACATATTCTTCTCTTCATCGAATTCTTAGTTTTTATAGAGAGATTTATTTTCTGTCTAACAATATATAAGATTATAAGGGATGTCACTTAGAGATGTTAAATATACCCCACATAAAGTAAAGAAAAAAAATACATCCTCCAGTCCTCTCGTCTTCCCATAAAGTCATCAAAGCGGATCCCTCTTATTGTTGGCAGAAAGAAAATCTAACCCCACGCTAAGAAAGATAAATTATTAGTTGACACAAATGTGAAGGTACGTCTGTTCTTTATGAGAATACTCTCCATCACTGTGGTTTTTTCTTCAGAGGTTCTTTTGTTCATCCCTCCAAACTCCCCAACAAATGGTATGGAGAGTACCTTCTAAACCGATCCAACCCTCGAAGGTTTCTGCACTTCGATTGAAAAGTGCAAATGGCCTTGTCTTAGTTCAAGTTCTTTCTGTATCCCTGAAGGAAATAAGCTGGCAAGTGTTGAGCATATCGGATACCGCTATTCCCTTTACTTACCTCCTGACTCCTTTAGAATTGATTCCTCATCCAGACAGATGAACACACCTGTTTACCATAATCGTACTCCTTTTCAAGTTAAAGTGTTCTGCAGCACATGGATACTGACATGAAAAAACAGAACTTGGTGGAATTAGTGTTCCATGCCTTCTAGGAAACCATTACTAGACCAGTTGAGAATCCTGTAATCTTCTAGCTTCAATGGCACTGTACATAGATATGACAGTAAATTCAGCATCACGGTTCATCCATTTTTTCCTATTCGGATTTTCACCCGTGCTCGAAACTGACAAGAAAACAGGGACAAATGAGCTTTTGGTTCAGTCCCTCTTGAAAAAAGGGTCTTTCGAGGTGGAAGTTCAAGCGAAACCATGATGCTATGCTGCTGTAGAGTCCCTTTCTTCACCGAAGAGTTAGAATAACAATCCTTATACTCAAGTACTCAACACTGTGTGATCTATGCGTGCACCATTTATCGTCCCAGAAATTGAATTTAGATCCTTTTTAGAACTTGCTACTAATCTTGTTAAGAAAGATGGCTATATATCAAGCACCCATAAGTGTTCAGCTAATTCTTGGTATATTAGTCTCCCTTCTATATCTCATAATTCTACTTCCTTTCACAATCCTTCTTCGTTGCTACCAAAACGCCAATTCCATTTACTAAGTAATGCTTTGTTACCTTCTTAATGTGTCGACTACCAACAGCAAGTTGCTTTCGCATACAAACTATTTCCAAGATATGTTGTAGTATTTAGCTTCAGTGTTCCCCAATAAATCCCTCAATGGTACTTTCAATAAAGTTTGCCACACTCATTGGAACTGAAAGAGATGAATAGTAAATCGAGACACTCAAGAATGTGGACTTAACGAGTTCGATTCTTGCACCTTTGGAATGGTACTTTCGCAGTTTCGCTTCACATTGCCAAACCTCTACTTAATCTTTCAATCACTAACCTGAAGTTGGTTGCTTGAATCCCTAGGTTATGCTAAAATTTCAGTTGGACTTTTACAGGGCATTCCTAGATTCACTTATTCTCGTTAATTTCAGCCATATAGAGCCTTAGAGTGGTGTCTGGTGAAATATTCCCTTAGTTAGGCTGATGCATATCAGTCGCTCAACAGTTCAGAAGTACATCTCCGATAAAACCAAAACAAGGAAATAGCAATCGCTCTGGTTTGTCTCAAGATTGAGAATAATACTAATTACTAAAGTTCCAGGAATCGTATACTTATTAGTTATTAACACACAGCTCCCTATACTTTCTAAGTGAAACTTTTATTTGGTGTGGTCTTGAAGTTCAATTACTAAATTTAGAATTGAAAAGACTGGGAAAAGTTTAAGAAAAAAAAACTTTATAGAAGGGAAAAAAGATGGTAACAGAGTGATTCTTACGATTAAACTGAGGAAGAAAAGCAGCGGTGTTCTCCTAGAAAGAGAACCAGTCCAGTACACAACAACTGCTAGTACAAGAAGTGAAGCCTGAAATACCAACCCAGCTGCACCTGCCTGTAGAGTCAAGCATCTTAATATCGGCATCATGAACTAATTCTAGGGAGTTGACTAATTACAACTTTCAAAGTAAGCAACCTTTAAAATGCCAAGTCTCTTGACCAAAGTTGCTGATATGAATGTTGCAGCAACACCCATGAAAGCACATAATCCACTGAACCCGCCAATAATAGATGGATCTAGGCCTGTTAAGCAATATCAAATAAATATGAGTAATCTGAGATTTCTGTACCAAATTTTAGCATAAAGGCAGTTATAAAAAATGTTTTTAGTTTGCTAGTTAAGTAATGGTGTGTGTATGTGAACTAGAGACACACATACATATGCAGACAGACAGAGAGATTCTTCGAGAAATCACCCTTGACTTTACTGCATGAACATAGTAAATTTCTAGTTTTAATAAAATTTAAAGGATCTTCTGGTTAGATTAACCACAATATAATTTACTATTGACACTTGCGGATGGTCCTGTTAATAACATATCCAAGTGTTCAACTCATCAGAAATATAAAAAGGTTATGGTAGCTCAATCTTCAGGCACGAATTCGTGATCTGTTCAATTGCATCAATAGATTTCATGGAGCCATGGAGGTGTAAATTTTTAAGAGGTCAGACCTAGAAGAGTACCTTGTTGTGTCAAGAATGCTGTCATTAAACCACCAGGAGTAAGAACAACATTGAAGTAGAGGAGCACATACGCCAGGCTTGCAGGAAGGACAGGCTGCTGCTTGTATTCTAACCATCCATGTTTGATGGCATCTAGACCCATTTCCACTGCTTATCAAGAAGATGTTATTAAATCAGTATAATTACTGAAATACGTAGCCCAAAAATAATATTCTGAATTAAGTGTTTCACCTAAATTCCCTGCCTTTGGCATGTCATTAAACATTTTGCAGGCTTGAGGGGATTTAGAACGATCAAGAACCCCCGAGGAGAGCTTGTTGCTTAGCCACATCAGTAGGATCTGCACAATTAAATTTAAGTGAAATTTAATATGGAATATAAGCGAAGAATATGCTAGAATAATAAAAATTTTACCAAGTTCTACAGATGATATAAAGAAAAAAGCAGTTTTACCACAACAGGTACAGTGGCTATCATCAGGCCAGCAGCAAGCTTCAAGCAGGAGACAGGATCATATTTAGACAAAAGAATGCCAAAGAGTGATGCACCAACTATCTGTGGCCATCAAATTAGAGCTATTATGACTCAAACATTTCTGATTAATACTACACCAAGATATTTTAAGTAAATTTCACAGCTTTCACATTTAATATGTATTGATATTCAATACGGAAAAAAAAGAAAAAAAAAA